CTCCTCCTTCCTTCCTTCCTTCCTTCCTTCCTTCCTTTCTTTCTTTCTTTCTTTCTTTCTTTCTTTCTTTCTTTCTTTCTTTCTTTCTTTCTTTCTTTCTCTCCTTCTCCTTCTCCTCCTCCTTCCTCCTCCTCCTCCTCCCTCTCTTCTTCTTCCTCTCCCTCTTCCTTTTCCTCTTCTTCTCCTTCTTCTTCTGGTCCTAGGCCTGGAACTCTGGGCTTGGGTATTGTCCCTAAGCTCCTTTTGCTCAAGGCTAGCACTCTATTACTTGAGCTACAGCACCACTTCCAGCTTTTTTTTCTGTGATAAATTGGAAATAAGAGTCTCATGAACTTTCCTGCCTGGGCTGGCTTCAAACTGTAATCCTCAGATCTCAGCCTCCTGAGTCGCTAGGATTACAGGCATGAGTCACCTGCACCTGGCTTCTTAACAGTGAAGATATGTCTTGTTTCCTTCTTACTCCTTCATATCTTTCAGTTTGACAAACTCCATCATCATCATCATTATTATAACTATTATAATAATATTCCTTAATGGAAAATAAACAGGCTGCTCTCTTCTGGGACTTGGGGGGAGGGAGGGAATGTCATTGCCATTATTTCAGCAATAGATGTCACTCTAAACCTAGGTTCACTGAGTCGGCCTTGTGGTGTGATATCGCTGTTTTAGCACTAGATGGCGCCCCAAGCATGTGTTGTTCAGGATGGATGAGGGAAGTGCCTAGAAAGGGTGCTCTAGCCCCACTATCCTCTGCTTTGTTCTTGGCCAGGCCCAATTAGCAGTCTAGGGCCAGGTGCTTCAGGATTCTGCCCCATTCTGGGATCCAGCCCTAGTCCCTAGGTCATGATTTATGTCAAACACTCCTTTCTCCCTAGCAGACAATGACTCTTTCCACAGGGGCTGCCTGGGACTGAGGGAGGGGCAGGTGGGAAGCACTGTGGTCACCAGTGTCACTATGTTGGGTCATACCCGGAGCCCACCAAGACCAATGCAAAGTAGTAGCAGGACCAAATCCAAATGCCTGTGACGTGGTACACCAGCCGCCTGAGACTGCCACCCAGAGCTGGAGATGAAGCTGGGCCTCCCAGTGGGGTGGCAGGGCTCTGCCTGGCCTGGGGGTGGGCCCAGGGCCTCTACCTGGGGGCCTTAGCCTGGGGACAAGGGTGGTGAGCATCCACAGGGTTAAAGTTCAGCTGCCCAGCCTTCAGGTCCAAGGTGAAGTCCTGTGCTTCCTTCTTGCTCCGTGCTATGCCCGAGGTTGCCAGACCGATGGAGAGGTATTCCCTTAGCCACCAGGCTAACGGCCATGGACGAGGAAGGGCGGTTGGGGTCATGGAGTCCTTTCTGGCACTTTCCAAGTCTAAGGCCTGCAGTGAATTCCATTTCCCACCAAGTGGAAGCACCCACATATCCACATTTTGCTTCAGAAACAAGGTGTTCCTCTCCCTGCCCCCCTCCACCCCCAAGCATGCTTCTGGGAGCAGGAAGGCCATGCTGTCAAATTTAGGAAGTATAACTGTGAAGAGCAGCAGGTGAAAGCCTTCCAGAACTTTCTGATAGAACCTTCAGATAGGTCCCCCTGGGCAATGTTTCCTACTAGCCTCCTACTTAGCCCCCCCTTTTTTAAAGGCCATTTCCCCTTTAGAACTTTCTGGAAGATGAGAATGAATTCCACTACTGAAGATACACAACACAGACTCCAGAAAGTTCCTTCTCCCTGGGCACGATTGGCCTATCAGCGACAAACAGGAGAGCAGAGCTTGTGTGTACAAAACCAAGTCAGGGTCCCAAAAGAAATACCCGGTTCTCAAGGACGGTTCCCGAGGAGGAAGAGCCAACCACATGGGGGGGGGGTCCTGAGACAATAACACCGCTCAGCCAGGGCCAAGAAGTGAAGTTCTTGTTTATTGTTGCAGCAACTCTTATACAGACATTAGCGTTCCGTTAAATAAGGAGCTAGCACATGAAATACATCACAACCCCACTCCAGACGACAGGGGCCATGGTGGGGAGCTGGGGGGAGGGACGGGAGGGAGGGAGGGTCAGGACCGGTGACCAGACTGTGGTCAGAGGGTTACATTCAGTGGGTGTGTGCGGTGTCCACACTGCAGGCTCACGTGTAGATATATTTTTATTTATATATTTTATTTATATTTATAGAATAGAGATCCTCGAGTTCTGTGTATACAAAGAACGATATTGTTACAAATACAATACTCTAACTTCTCCCGACGCTTTTACAAGAAGCTCTAGCGCTTTACAGAAGGCTTCGTACAAGTTCAGACTCTAGGTGCTGTGCTAAGTTATGTACAAGAGATTTCATTTCCACACGGTCCTCACACGCTGCCTTGAGGGGGGGGGGAGAAAGAAAAAACCAAAGAATGGTGTGCTCAGGTGGACAGATGTCTCCTCCCCCCCAGCCCCCCCCCCCCACCAACCAGGGAAGGAGCAGACAGAGGTGAAACTCAAAACCCACAGGGGGCCTGGTGAAGGCGAGTTAACGCATCAGCAAGGAGGCTGGCCCTGGCTTGTAAACATTGATGGTGGCTACACCGCTGGGTGGAGACCGAAGGAGGGCTTGCTGGGTGGGTGTGTCATGGGGGGTGCAGATTGGGGCACAATGGGGGAGGTAGTAGGTTACTCTAGACTCCCTGAAGGCCTGTGTTGATGGGCGAGATTCAGAAAATGAACCCATGTGCATGGCCCCGTGTTGTGCTGCACGTCCAGGAGGCTGATCTGCAGAGGGAAGGTGTTCTTGTGCGGTGGGCTCCGGGCACTGGTCTTTGGAGGGAGGGGACGAGGCTCCCTGAAGTGCTACCGCAGAGGGGAGGCTGGGTTCTGGTGTCACGTGGATGGACTGGGAAAAGCCCATCCCCAAAGCTGGGCAGCCAGTGTGGGCTCCGTGCCGGGTGGTCTGGGGAAAAAGCTGTTCTGTACATCGTTCACCCCAGGGGTGGGGTGCGGAGGTATTTACATACAGGACTATACAGAGGGGCTGGGGGTGGGGACAGAGGGCAGGGGTAGTAGGAACAGGTCTCTGGGGACTTTCAGACAAGGAGTGACTGACATCAATGGGCAGTCCCAACTCTCAGGCCCAGCGAGCTGAGGATCAAACCCAAAAGGACTCGTGTAAAATGGTCCTTGTACGCGAACATGCCAGGTCTCCAGAGCTCACCAAGTTGGCTTTTCAGCACCTTTTAAAAGAGTTTTCCAGGAATTTGCACAATAGGAAGAGAATGTGCTTTCTCTCTCCTTCCTCCTTGGGGGGGGTGGGGGTGGTGGTAAAGCTACTTCATGAAGAATTTGGGGGATAGATTAAGGGTTTGCATGTGGAACTCCTCTCTCCTGGCCAACCGGGGTCCCTCTGCTGTCTAGCAGATGGCAGGAGCCCCAGCCGTCTGAACCGCTGCTGACCATGCAGAAGGCAGACAAGCGGTGGAGTTCAGCAAGGGTGAACATGGCCTCCCCCAGAGCTCCTGGCCCTCACATTTGTGCTTGGTTGGTCTTGGGGTGAGCACCCACAGTTTTGTGTGCAGCATCTTTCAAGCAGACTGGGGGGGGGTTCCATCCCACCCATCACAGCCCCCTTCTGCCCTAGGCCCAGGTAACTCTCAGTCCCTTCCCGGAAAGGACACGTGGGCAGACAGCAGCCTCTCTGTTCACAGGAGCTTTCTGGCTTACAGTGAAACAAAGAGTTCAGCCGTTGGTTCGAGCATCTGGCTGGCTCCACTTCCGGAGGAAGGGGCGGGGCGCGGAGGCCCCCAGGGCAGGGCCTGATGGCATCAGTCACTTTTCTCCCTCCCCTAGTCTCTCCAGGCTCTCTCTCTCTCTCTCCATCCTAAACTTTTGCTCACTCAACCCCTAGTTCCCCAAATGCAACATAAACATCCCAGATGTAGAAAACAGGGATTTATATTAATATTACAAAATATATTCGTTTTTTTTTCTTCCTCTGTCCCTACTGAGGTCGTCAATGAAACAAAACCAAACAAAACAACAACCAAACCAGACCTCACATAGAAACACAATGCTCTTTGGACCAAGAATAAGTAAAGACTGGCTGGGAACAGTATTCCTAAAACATTGGCACTGGACGGAGACATCACCATCCATAAACAGAAGACGCTGCACGTCAGCTGACAAGACCCGGAAGATGACGCTTCCACAACACACATGGGGATTCGTAGGCACAACCGGAGGGCGCTACTGTCCCCCTAAGGTTGTGACTTATGAACTGATCTGGCCTGTCAGATACCACACATCCTGCCCTTTGACCCTGACTGAGCATGAGATTGGCTGCCTGTGGGCCAGGAACCTTCACACAAGACTATCCCATCAATGTTTTCTAGAAAATGGGTTCAGCCACCTGAGAGCCCCCAGTTTGTGCCCGGGTGTGTGTGGGGGGGACCCAGGGGAGGTTCACAGGACACTCTGAAGTCAAGGAGACACTGGGGAGACGCAGGCCCCGGCTAGAGAGGGCCTCTTTCTCGGGACGAGGCTTCGTCCAGCATGCCTGACCTTCTGTCAGGGAAAGGGGGCTCCCAGAGAGGTGCTGTGGGCTCAGTTAACCTCACTGGTGGGGGGGGGGAGGGGTGAAGGGCGCCCTCAGATGTCCTACAGAGGCAGGCAGTAGCTGCCGTGGTTATCTCCTGACTGGTAGCCGTGGGGCGACTGGGCAGAGCGGCTCTGATGCCAGGTGACCTGCCCTGCCCCCTTGATCCTTGGTGGGAAGGCCTGGATGTGAACGCCAGCTACGGAAGAGGCTGGCTCAGAAACTCTAGGCACCCCAACTCCATGGTGGGAAGCGCGGACAGAGCCCTCGCCGCTGCGTCCCATCGAGCCAGGGGGGGGCGCGGCCACCGGGAGTTCCTTCTGTGTGTGGGGGGGTGTCTGTGCCTTTTGGGGACAGTCCTGCCTGTCCCCTCAGTGACAGCCACCTTGGGGCTCCCGAAGGACTTCCACAACACGCCTGGACAGAGCGGGTGGATGCTGGTTTGGAGCACATCGCCGACCTCCCTGGTGGGAAAGAGGAGGGGGAGGAGGGAGAACAAAACGGAGCGAGACAGAGAGCCAAGAGGTCCTTGTGGATTCTTCTCTTCCTGTGTTACGACCGGACGCTGGGAGTGAGAGGGAATTGTCTCAGTGGACACACGGATGCAGCACGAGAAACACAACCACAGTGAGGCCAGTCCTCCATGCACGCGTCGCCAGGGCCGCTCAGATGTACACGGGCTGCTCCTGGGCCGTCAGCAGTCTGTACATGGCCGCTGGCATCGTCTTCATGTGGATCTGAGCGAGGACAGACGGCCGGGTTAGCAGGAGGCCCTGGCTGGGTGGGACACCAAGCAGGGGACTTCCATGATCACCCCCCCCCCTGCCCCGCTCCCCCAGGCTTCCAGGGTGGCCTCTAGGAATGGAAGCTGCTGGCTTTCCCAATCCATCTGAGCTGACAAGGAAAGCCAGGGAAGACTGAGCTCTCATCCAAATGCAGTCCTTTGAGAGACAGAGAATTCTGCCAGTGGAAGATGACTCTGGACTTTGTTCCTGCCCCCCAGCCCCTCCCCCGCCCCACCCCCTCCCTCGGCAATTATGGGACAGAATGACAGCCTAGCAGCCCTAGCCCTGCAGGGTGGATTTCAGGCAAGGTTGGGTCAAGATGTCTCTGAAGACCACTGAGTTACAAGACCCCAGTCTGAGATTTAAGTCTTCCAAGCACATTTGGATGAGAAGAACAGAGAAAAATGTGGAAAACTTGAGGAGTCCCAGAGCAAAACAACACAGCTCTTGAGTGTTGAGGCGAGCAAATAACAATCCTGGGAGAGAAGGTCAAAGGTGACCCAACTTCACACTACTGAAGGGCTGTCGGACAAACCACCTGCTAACGGGGTTCCCACTGGGTCCAAATAGATGCTTCTGGATTTTGAGCATCTGGGAGGGGATAGGAGGCTGTGGAAGGTTCCTGCCAGGTCTGCCAGGGGCACCGGGCAGCATGCTTGGTCCCTGCCCTGCCCCAGACCTGCCACCTACCTCCCCCACAGCGTTGGAGAGGACGTGGACGATCTTCTCGTGCGGGGTGGCCACGACGCTCTGGCCGTTGATCTCGATGATCCGGTGTCCCACGCGGACGCCTCCCCTCTCCGCGATGCCTCCTCGCATGAGGCTACAGATCTGCCAGGATCAAACACTAGGTTACTGATGGCAGACAGGACGTCATCTCGGAGCCGCAGGGGGAGGGCTGGCTGTCTCCCTGGGGCCCCTGCGGCTCCCAGAACACGCATCTCTGAGAAGATGATTTCTCTGGCGCTTTCCCAAGTGCCAGGCCCTGCAGGCCTGCAGGAGGCCCACGTGGCCGTTTTGTTCCCGCACACTTTGCACTGCTAGGTTTCATGGCTGCACTCTGATGACTTCCCATCTCCCCCGGGGCCTGTCACCTGGGGGCCAGAGTTCCAGGCCAACAGCCTGGGCGGTGCAGGCTGGAGGGAAGAAATGTGAAGGGTAAACAAAGGAGGAGACTGCAATGCTCGGTAAGAAATGTATGCATTATCCTGCATGTAATTGTATGCATTATCCCATGTAATTGTAACCCCTCTGTACAGTATGTTCACAAATAAAATAAAATTAAATTTTAAAAAAAAACAACAAAGAAAGCTATATACCAGTAAAAAAAAAAAGAGACAATTGTTGGTCCTTAATCCAACTCACTTGACTCTGTTTTAAAGAAATGACCAAAGGCTGGTTTGAGTGTGTGTGTGCATGCACACACTAGGACCTGGGCACTGGCCCTGGGCTGTTTAATTTTTTTAAGTTTAATGTGTTTTGTTTCTGCTGAAGGCTAGCCGTCTACCACTTGAGCCACAACTCCACTTCCAGCTTTTTGGTAAGTTATTGGAGGTAACGCTCATGGATTTTCCTTCCCAGGCAGGTTTTTGAACCTCAATTCTCAGATATATATATATATATATATATATATATATATAGATAGATAGATAGATAGATAGATAGATATAGATATATATATAATGTGTGTGTGTGTACCAGTCCTGGGGCTTGAACTCAGGACCTGGGCGCTGTAGGGACATTTTTTTCTTTTTCTCAGAGCTACCACTCTACCACTTGAATCACAGTTCCACTTCTAGCTTCTCTGGGTGGTTAATTAGAGATTAAGAGTCTCAGGGACTTCCCTACCCAGGCTGGCTTTGAACCTTGATCCTCATGTCTCAGGCTTTTGAGTAGTTAGGGTTACCAGCACGAGCACCAGCCCCTGGGCAAGGGCGGCTTTTGGTGCAGTGTATCCGGGCATCGCAGAGAGCCAGTGGCTGGGAGGCCACTTGCAAAGGAGCCCTGCAGAGTGGAGGTGCCACGTCTCCCACGGAAGCAGCTTACATTCCAAGCTGCGTTTACATTCCACACTGTGCAGCTTCATGCACCAGCAGGGGCAGGCAAGACTTACAAAACTTACAACTTCTGCACAGTGAGGGCCCTTCAAGCTCCTAGGCACACCTGGGGCCGCTGTCCCCATCTGAGCTACAAGCAAAAGGGTCCAGGGGTGGGGATGCAGAGAACTTAAAGAAACCTGATGGTGCGACATGTCCATTCGTCACCATCAGGAAGAAGGTGGGAAGTGAGCCGTCCTTACAATTCCATTCTGGACGCTGAAACCCAGCTGGTAGCGGAGGTCGGGCCTTCTGATTAACACCGTGGTCACCGGGGGACAGCGGACGATGTTCAGCTTTACTCGGGATTGATTCTTCAAGCCCTGCCGCAAGAACAAAGCACAGCGGACATGACAAGAAGTAAAAGTCCTCATGGCAGAAGAACTCCCATGAGTCTTAGGGAAGAGCTGGCAGCACCTTAGCCCCGCCCCTCTTCCAGGCCTCCTCAGTCTGGGGAAGAAAACAGCAAGGTTAAGATGGCGCTCTTTCAGTCTATGCACGGATTGCTGTTTGCTGCAGGTAACACCTTCATTTGGGGAAATGGACTGTGTTCACGGGACCAGAGTAAAAGTGCAACTACAAAGAAGTGTCTCATGGCTTTATTTGTGTGTGTGTGTGTGTGTGTGTTTGTTTTTTGCGGGGAAGGCTTGGAGGCTTGAAAGTTGAGGAATGCACCATGCTATCTCTGGGCCAGGAGAGACCCGAGGAAAGCGTGACTCTGGCAGTGACTCCCAACAAAAGATAGGGAATTGGTTGACAGCAGACCAGTCTTGCTCGCTCTGCTCTCGCGTGCTCCTCTGGAGATTCCAACTGGTGTCGGCTTCCTTAGGACAGAGAGGGCTGGAAGATGGGTATCCAAGAGAGAAAAAGATGGAGGCGATGACTGCAGACATTATCTTCCCTGCCCGCCACCCTCCCTCCCCAAGTGTCTAAACCCTTTAAGAGGTGATCAGAGCTGCAAATGGCCAGTTAATCCTCATGTCTCCCTTATAGCAGTCTAGCAAAGCTGGAGAGGGAGGGCAGCCTGTGGGAGGGTAGACCGGCTCAGTCATCTCACAATGTGTGGGCACCCCTGGAAATGGCCTTTGCAGCCGAACTCCAATAATAACCACTGACCAGTGAACCCTGACCTCTGCAAGACACCACCTGGGCATTCACAGGAGCTGTCTTATTGGTGCATCTGGCAAACTGACAGCTACAATCAACGCATCTTACAGGAGAGAAAGCTAAGGCTCAGCACTACCTACTTCTACTCAAGCTCACACACAGCCAGCTTCAATCCCATGTCTGCCTGCAAAATAACAGTACTTTCTCCTATACACATATAGACACATGTATGTGTATCAGTGTGTGTGTGTGTGTGTGTGTGTGTGTGTGTGTAGTGTTTCCAAGACAGCCCAAGCAGGAAAGTCCATAAGATTTTATCTCCACGGAAGAAGACAGGTGATACATTCTTGTCATCACTGTGATGTAAGAGGTGTAAAGTTGGTGCATTGTAGTCTAGGCAAATACGTGAGGCATGCTGTCAATAAAACCAAAGTACAATGAAAGGGCTGGAGGTATAGTTCAGCAGTAAAGCACCTGCCTAGCAAGCAAGAATCCCTGAACTTAAGCTTCAGTACTACCAAAAATTAATTTTAAAAAAAAGTGTCGGGCCCTGGAGATGGGTAGAGTAAGTTGTCTGTGGGCCTCATGGAGCTTGGGAGAGGGATGAACAAGAGACTGTGTCACAACCAAGATGAGGTTGGAGGAAACAGCTGTAGCCCCAGAGCACTTGAATCTCTTTACAATCCCTCCACCCCAATTACATACCATGAGGTGAGGGATTTGTGGGAAACCAAAGCTAAGAGAGAGCTAAAGGCAGGATCTTGCTAGAATGAATCCTTCAGAGAAAGCCACCTGCTCTGAACATTCACCCCATCAACTATCAAGATGATGTGCAGTTCAGCGCATACCGAAGAGCACGAGAAGGACCCCATTTTCTGTGCTAACCAATGTGCTCACATTGCTTCAGTGGACTCTTTCCTCTTTTCCTGTGAATTAAGATGCCTGATCGGTCCCTCAGCAGAAGAATGTCAAGATTGGGGAAAATGTGCTGCAAGATGAGGCTTAGAGAAATAGCCAATTTAAAATCACCGGACCATGTATTTTCTCTGCTGCTCCTAATCAGTGTTGTTAAGTTGGGTCTCATTAACTTAGATTTCTTAGCTGCCATTTTATTGGAGGTGCCAATTAAATAAACGTTCCCATCCCCATGACAACTGTGGAATGGCATCGTGAATGAAAGAATACAACGAGAAGGGAAGAAGCCAGAGCGGTCTCCATAGCAACAGGAGAAGCCCACCCATGATGATCTGGGAAGGAAAGGGAAACTGAGCTCAAATTAAAAACAAACAAACCACCCCAAAATCCACAGGGCGGGAGTTTGGAGATAACCACGTGAGAAGACGCAGAGCCTAACATTTCACCTATCAGTAAAGAGGCTTTAGGAATAAATCTTAACGAGAAAAATAAAGAGCTGGCGAGGAAGACCATTCAATTTCTGTAATGGTAGAAAGAATACTGTACTTCCTATGGCCGGGAGAGAAAGGAGTCAACGTGCATTGAAACGGCCACACACATGGCTTTAGAGTCCTGTTCCCCGAGCATGGCCCGACGATTCGTGAGGGCATCCTTGTGGGGGGTTGGCTGCCACTGCAGAGCCCACTCGAGACCTGTCAAATCCACGCTGCGCTTAAACACGAGCCCTGGATGACTCACATGAGCCTCAGCACTGCTTTATCAGAATGCGAACTGGTGGCTAGTGAGGAAACAAACAGGATCCCAAGGCTTTGAAGCCTACATGTTCCCCCGTAGTGTGGGGGCAGCACGATTCTCTGTCTCGGTGCCGGCAATACAGGGGAGTGTTATCTAGAGAATTAAAAAAGAAATAGCACCACACCCACTGAACGGTCATCTCCCTTTGGTACTGGTGATCCTAGCAGCTAGCCCTCCCCACAGATGGGAATCAACAAAGCTGCAGAACCCCAGGCACTGAGCATGCTCAGAGGCTTCTCACTGGGGCCCATCAGCTGTGTAGGTTAGTGAAGAAGGCACCCAAGAAAGCAGCGGTTTTCTTATGCTTCTTGCATCAAATGGCCTTTTAATCATCTGACTCCACAGATACTCCATTTATCCACCTCAAACTTCAGTTACTCAAGTCTTTTTCTTTTTTTTTTTTGTGCCTGTCCTGGGACTTGAACTCAGGACCTGGGCACTGTCCCTGAGATTCTTTTTCTCGAAGCTAGCATTCTACCACTTGAACCACAGTGCCATTTCTGGCTTTTTTGGAGCCGTTTATTGGAGATAAAGAGTCTCATGGACTTTCCTGACCAGGCTGGCTTTGAATCGTGATCCTCAGATCTTGGCTCCTGAGTGGATTACGGGGGTTGCCTGGCTCAAACAAACCTTTCTGCTTAGGAAGTCCATCAGACAAAGCTAAGTTTCCATGTGGCAGATGAGATGGTCAGGCTGCCCCGCCCCCTCACCTGGTGTGTGTCCTGTGGAGAGTGAGGGAGGGGGTAGAAGGGAGGGTCAGTGCTCACGGCCAGCTGGGGGCCCTGAGCAAGCATCCATGACTCAGATGTGTGAACCTGGCTATGGCCAGCCCCCCCCCACCTCCTCCCCCGTGGGCTGGCCTGGAATGGCTGGTGAGAGAACCAGGCACTGATGTGGAGCTGGCCAGTCCTTGGAAATTCCTGCTTCCCCCTCATCGCCATCTTTACTCTGTGTCAGCTCAGCTACTGTAGCAATGCACTGCAGACCAGGTGCCTTATCATCAACAAATGTTACAGTTTTGAAGCCTGGATTCCCTTGGACAAAAATGCCATCTGTAAGTACTCCATCCTGTGGTCTCACCACCTCCCAAGACTCTAACTCTGTCTCCTAATATCCCCAGACCTATGTGGAAGGGGCACATTCAGTCTAACATATTCCTCTCCACCCTGTAAGTCTTCCCAGACTCCTCACAAACCCACTCACCCATGTCCCTCTCCCTGATTTCTCTCTCTGGCATCTGAACTCTAATCCCTGCAGCCTAAGCACTATGGACATCTGGAGTGGGGCAAGTCTGTGCTGTGGGTGGGGTGGAGATGCAGGATGTTTGACAGCATCCCCAACTCCACACCTTAGATGCCCGCAGTACCTTCTCTTCAAAGGTTGGGGAGGCCACTAAGATTGTCTCCAGGCCTTCTGGTGTATGTGAGATCACCCCTGGCTGAAGAGGGCTGGCATGTGGCCAGCATGCTCCTGGACATCTCCGTATTAGAGTCAAGCTGTTCACTGGCTGAGTGACCTGGCTCTACCAATGACTGTGCCTCAGTGTCCTAACTTGTACAATAGATGATACACTAGTACCAGTCCCAGAGGGTTGTTGTGAGAGTTTAGTAAGCCAATCCGTGTGCACACTCAGGAAGTACACAGCCCTCTGCTGATGTGGCTATCTGGTTATCTCTCTTCATAGATGGAGCCCAAGGATGACAGCTGCTGTCTCTCTGGATGACACAGCTCCCTGTGGCTCTTGTGTATACATACTGCATGTTTAATGACTAACTTGTTCACTGGGGACCAAGAGCTGCCCATCTGGGGTAGCCCTGCTTCCTTAACCCTGGGCTACCCCTTCCTTCACCACATCACCGCAGCAACATGGACCAGCCCTCTCAGGTCGGGCTCAGAGCCAGTCCCGCTGTCCATCAGTTCCAGCAGATGGTCTGGAACACTACTGTCCTTTCAGCTACCAATGCAGGTTTTTCTCTTTCAAGGTCAACATCAACACCGTCCCACAAGAAGTTCCTTCTGCTCACTCTTGCAGCCTTTTGCCTCTAGTTCATGATCAGGCCGGCCCACCGAACCCATTCAGTGATCTAATTCTCATCCCCAAGTATCTGGGCATTCCAGTTCTGCACGTTTCAGCTTCAGCCCCTAAAAGATGCCCAGTGACTCATGCCTGAATGCCGAGTTTTGAAAAGTCTGTGATCTTATCATTAATTGGTGTCACATACTGCATAAGGCAGGATGCTATCGGCCAGCAGTCTACATGACAGGGTCCCATCCTTGACTGTAGTACAGCCCTTCCTTTTGTGGTGATGGCAGTGTGAATGTATCTACTGTGCTGCTGCATAAGGGAATAGACATTCCCTGACAGTATGTAATACTCGACTGTTACTGTTTTATGTATTAGCTGTGTTGTACTTTCGTTGCCATTTTACAATGTATTCCTAGTTATTAAAAAAGAAACCAGGGTTTACTATCTGATAGTATGCATGTGACACTGACAGGCCCATAGGGACGGTTAACGTGGCTCTTGGTTGCATCAAAGGCCACTTAAACAACCGACTGGGATCTGTGGAAGAAGACAATGTTGTTTGCAGAAATGACAGAACCACTTAACAATGTACTTCTTGGAATATGTTGCTCTGTAATTAAGTGACACTTGAGTGCATAATAAGCTAGAGGTAGAATTTACTTGTGAAAGGTGAAGCAGTGCTTGATCATGAGTCCTGTACTCTTTCCTGCCCTCTCTGCTCCCCGCTCAAATGAGGACATTGGCTTTTGTGATTCTTGTTTGCTTAGCCCAGATAATGGTATGATTCTTTGGTTCATTCCTCAGTCCTGGGTACTAACTAACAAGTCTTTCAGGAAATCTGAAAGCTGTGCATCAGTTTTCTCACAGTACCACAGTCTGGGTATTGAGCTCATGGCTACAGATACTACAGCCCGATTGGCCATGCAACTGACAAGCACTTGTGTGCTGAAAAGAGAGCACACAGGTGCCTTATTGTTAAGAAGAAAATTGAATTTCTTCCTCTCAAACATCCACACTTAATTTCCTTTTAAGTACCTCTTCTTGGTCTATATAATGGCATCAGTTCAGGTTGAATAAGGAGTAATTATATGAAAAAGAATGCATGGAGCTGGGCACCGGTGGCTCACGCCTGTAATCCTAGCTACTCAGGAGGCTGAGATGTGAGGATCATGGTTCAAAGCCAGCCTGGTCAGGAAAGTCCGTGAGACTCTTATCTCCAATAAATCACTTGAAAACTGGAAGTGGTGCTATGGCTCAAGCGGTAGAGCGCTCGCCTTGAGCTGAAGAGCTCAGGGACAGCACCCAGGCCCAGAGTTCAAGCCCCATGACCGACAAAAGAAAAAAAAAAGAATGCATGGACTCTAACAGAGGTTTCTTCTCATGACAAGCAGCCAGCAGGCTTTGGGAGAAGGAAGAACTCACCTGCATCGCAGTGTTCTGTTCTCAGATCTGAAAAGCATTCCCATGACCCTCCGCACATGTGTGCGCCAGTCCTCGGGGCTCTTAAACTCAGGGTCTGGGTGTTATCTCTGAGTTTTTCTGCTCAAAGCTAGCACCCTCTACTACTTAAGCCACAGCTCCATTTCCAGATTTTTTGGTAGTTAATTGGTGGTAAGAGTCTCACAGATTTTCCTGACTGGGATGGTTTCCAATTGCAATCCTCAGATCTCAGCCTCCCAAGTAGCTAGAAATATAGGCTTGAGCCTGACAAATCATCTCATGCCAATCTGGCTGTTATAAAAGACTGTTTGGATTATTGAGCTGGAGACAATTCTGCTGAGGCTGAGCTAGGTTTAGTGTGATTGGTTAGTTACACTTGCAATGGGTTTGGTTTTAGACAGTGGTGTTCGCTGAGTCAAGTATACTATCTCTGATCTAAAAACAAATTCTGGAAGAATTTGTAATAGTAACTTGAATGTACACTATCTTAAGACCAAGTCTATCCTTTTTTTTTATAGTGCTAGTCCAGGAGTTTGAACTCAGGACTTTCTAGGTACTATCCTTGAGCTTTTTATTTTTTTAAATGTTTGATCAAGGCTAGCACTCTACCATTTGAGCCAGAGCTCTACTTCAGTCTTTTTGCTAGTTAATTGGAAATAAGAGTGTCATAGACTTTGCTGCCTGGGTTGGTTTCAATCCTCCGATCTCAGCCTCCTGGGTAGCTAGGATTACAGCCATGAGCCATCAGTACCCAGAAAAGGCTGTGCCTTTTGTATGTGTATTTTCCTGGGCGTCTGAACATAAAATGCATTCACATATGAACTGGTTCACATCATTTCAGGTTTACAACAGAAGTACATGTTGCTTAGGTCCAGGTACCTTAATAATGCTCTGGCATGTGGACAGAGGCAGGCCCACCAGGCTGGTGCCATTGAGGGACATAATCTGGTCCCCGATGTTCAGCTTTCCTGACTTCTCTGCAGGGCCTCCGTGCATCATGTTGGCTATGATCACGGTTGGCAAGATGGAGCCCCAGCCAGACTCCACAATCACGACTCCTAGGATTTCTCCTTTCTGCTTCTCTATGAAAACCTGAAAGAAGAAAAACCACTTAGAAAGCCTGGAATCAGTAACCCTGTGAGGCTGGGAGAGAAATCAAAGACATTTCCCCAGTGGTTCCAGCCCAGGGGAGTTCCTACCTTCTCTGCATTGCAGGACCTCTGGAGTCTGAGGGGAAGCATGTCACACAGGCCTACAACTTCACACTAGGTTCTGTAATCCGCCCTGCTATTCTGTTCACAATCCGGGTACATGTACAACCACAAGGGCATCAGGTTTTTATTATGATTACTATGATTATATTACATATCACTGGGTTGTTATTATTCAAGTTTGTCGTCCCAACAGCAGGAGAAATAGGCTCTGTCGGTGAGTCAGGTGGCCCATGGGGGCTTCCAGTAATGGCCTTTGCCATTATTCTGTGCACAGATTTCTCCATTCTACAGAACTTTATATACTGTCTCCAAGATTTAAGATTCTCAAGTCCAAAATAATTCACGGAGTCACGTCTCAATAAGGAGAAAATTCAGGAAAAAGAAAATGGTGGACACCTGTAGGACGGGGAGGTTTGCACAGATGTGGCCAAAGGGCGAGACCCTTCTGGGAAGCGTCTGGCACAGTGCGTGTGCATATCCACAGGGGCTTGACGCAGTCCCTCCGCAGCCTGTGACCCTATCCTCAGGGTAGGGTGTTGAACTTCACTAGTGGCAATTTCCCTGAGGAACTCACTTAGCTCAGGGGGAGACCCTCACTTGGTACTGGTATTACCAGTTCCTTTACAGAGGTATCTCCAGGGCCCTTACAGAGGTACAGTGAGACTGGGGTCTGGCCAGCATAATGGTGTCCTGATAAGAGGAAATCGGAACAGAGAGACATGATAGGAGGAGGATTTGAAGACACAGGGAGAAGAGCTATTTGTAAGCCAAGTCAGGGCGCCGGGGAGAGCTCAGAACAGACCCTTCCCTCATGGCCTCTAGATGGTGCTGACTCTGCGATGGCCTCCATCTTGCCTTGGCGGCCTCCAGCGCCGATACCCATCTGTTGTGGGAGCCACCTGGCCTACGGTGCAAACTAACCTGGCCCCTGCCCATCCTTGACCAAGGAGAGACACAGGGTACGAAGACTGCCTGTACTTTCGTCCCGAGGAGACAATCAATGCCCAGTGCTTGCCTTGGATCAGAAGGCGGCTCATGCCCAGTAAGACATCACCGTGCTCCCCTTCATTCTGAATCAACCTCAACCAGGATCCCAATCTGTGCTCTGAGAGCCTTTACTGCACACGCATGGATAGCCATTAAGCTTCCTTTCTCATGAAAGCTTCTTTCCCATCTCTGGGGCGAAGCCCTGACCCTTTGGCTGGATCTGCAGGTGCTCCACGTGTCACCTGGATGTTGTGTTGGTCTCTCCATCTCTTTTCCTGTGCCCGCCCTCTGCTCTAGCCAGGCCATTTCCTTCCCGACTCCCTGACGCATCTAGAGCTTTCTGACCATCAGACTTCCCTACTGTGACTTCATTTTGCTGCTCTGCTGGCTCCCGCACATGCCACATGACCCGGAGAGCTTGGCCCGCATGAGGGAAGCTCGCCCCTATCATCTCAGCGCAGGATCTGGTCTGTGGAGCTGTGAGCAGTGCTTGAACCAGCACTGTCACTGTCTTAGTGCCCTCACCTGGTCTGTGGGCTTCCTCAGGGCAGAGGTCAGGTCTCCCCACCCTTAGACCTCACTGAAAGGACAGCTTTGCATTCCTGGGGGGCAGAGAAGCTGCTGCCTCTTCTGTAGACCTGACCTACACGGGGGGGCACCTCATAACAGAGTCTCACGGAGGGGGAGCCTCAGATACTTGTGAGCTGCCAGCACCCAGACAGCCCAGCCTGGGGGTGGAGGGGGGTGGGGAAACGAGGGAAGTCCTTACATCTTTGCAGTTTTCCGACTTGGAGAAGTGGATCAGGTCGTCATTGTACATGTCCTGGGTGTTGAGCAGGTCACTGTACTCCTTCTGGCTGAGGTCTTCGGGGTTTATCCCGTTGGCCCTGAGGAATTCCTGGTATGCCACGCTGAACGCCTGCCCTATAGATTGTGCGATCAGCTGGGCCTGGGAAAGCAGCCAGAAGAGAAAAGGGTAGTCAACACGTAGTGCTATGGGTGTGGACACTTGGGGCCCCATCAGACACTTCCTCCTGGAGCTGGAGGGGCCCTTGATATCGGGTAGGCTGGTGGTGCTATATAAGGGGTACCAGTGCTTGCTTCCCAGGAGACCTTTCTGCTTATGCAAATGATCATAAGGAAGCTCCTGTCCACTCAGTGGCCAGTGGCATTCAGTGGGTTTCAGTAGTGGTCAGAGATGCTGGATCTCCTGTCACATAAAAGCCAATCCTTCACAGTGAAGTCATCCTGTACCATTTCAAATGTCCCTGCCATTGTTTAGGTGGACAGGAAAGGTGTAAGTCTAGTTCACTCTCATCCTGCTTCTCTATTCTTTCCATTCTTCCCTTGTGGAGCAAACAGCAACCACAAAAATCTCCAGGGAGTAAACTGTTCTGGGCTCCTGGGCTGGTGGAGGAGAGAGAGAGAGTCCTGCAGAGAGCGTCACAGCCTGCGAGCAGAGCCAAGGCCACCTTTTCTATGGCCTTCGCATTCTACAATGCAGCCCAGGGGCTCCTTCCGTAGCTCCATTTGTCTGGTTAGCATGTCTGGCCTCCTCTGAAAGCACAGCATGGAGAATGGCAGGGAGAGGCACCGAAGGCTGTGGGCACGGGGGACTGCTTTCTAGAGGTTCAGGCCAGTAAGACTTGTGACAGTTGTCATTGTCTTTCTTGGCTGCGGCTGCAGCTGTGACAGTGTGGATTCCTAGAGGAGAGAAGACTGCCTTTGTCCTCCATTTCCTGGAGGAAGGCAACTGACCCCAGTTAGGGGAATTCTGGATTGGACAAGAATGAATTCTGTTTGCTTCTCCTAGGCGCATAGGGCTCTCTGCTCTCGTGAGAAATGAGCACGGAGCATGGCCCTGGGGTGGCCCTCTGGGGACAAAGTAGACTACAAAGCTCAGAGCCGGCAAGGGACAGGTGTTAGAGGATTGGGGTTGGGTGGGCAGTGCACCTGCCTTTTGGTACTCTGGCTGTTTGAGGCAGAGAGGCTCCGCAGGTCAGCTTTATACCGGCAAGATCTGTCCTGTCCAAGCACCTGGGTGCGCAGGTGAGAGGCGCTTGGGCAGTCAGTTCTACAGTTCAGGTGTGACTGAATTGTTCGTATTCTTGTTCAAGCTTCATAGCAGGGTAGCCCTTCATTTCTGCCCTTCTCAAACAAATGCGGCAGGCTCCGACCTCGGGGCCTTGGCACTTGTTCTCATTTTCCCTTCAGGCCTCTCTTCACATGCTACCTTATAAAAGAGGCCTGTGTTGATCATCTACTTGACCCTGTTTTACTTTCCCCACGTCTAGCTTCACAGTGAATGTATTTATCTATTTATTTGCAGGCTCCCTTCAACTCACATAATGAGCGTCTCGTATGTTTCATGAGCCCTCTATCCCTAGTCCTCCAATAGTGTCTGACGCGTAGTAGGAGACTCCATCAATTACTCAATGAGTAGATGCTTAATGTGGAATGAGTTAACAGTTTAACTCATTTAACTCAGGTGCTAAGAAATCAAGGGCATCTGGCTACCCAACGGCTACTCAGGTCACCTAAGCAAGATGAGATCGCGGGGTCTACGCTTACGTCCTCAGACTCAAAGACGTGGCAGATCATCTTGTACTGCCTTTTCCCATCCTGCGCCGGGTGGGAGGCTTCCACGTTCTCCTGAGAGTTGGAGCGGGGCATCCTCCGGCGGGCCATGAGCACCACGATGTTTCCAATGTCAGCGATGTAGGAGATGGTCCTTAGTGGGTGGTCCATCATGGTCTCCTGGAGTGGGAGGGGCAGATCAGCCTGGCCCATGGCCGGATGACCCAGGAGAGGCCCCCCCCACCCAGCCTAGCCAAGTATGCCCCACAGTCAGAGTGGGCTCATACCTCGTTGGCAGATTCATGACACCCACTAGGGCCCACAGGCCTCTCCTTGGTTAACTGAGAGCAAGAAATCATCTGTGGCAGTCGAAACAAAATAAGAAAATCGGAAACATTTTCCAATCAGTAGCATCTCTGGTGGTAAAGTTAAAAGGAGGGGTAAGTATCTCAATAGCACAGTTGCTTTGTGTGTGCGTGTGTGTGTGTGTGTGTTTTGATCTGAAACAACCTTTCTTAAAGTCATCCTCTCTACAGGGAAGAAGAAACAACATCCACATTTTCTCTTCTCCTCTGAGCTTTATTAAGGAAACACTTGTACCCCTTACTTCTAGCAGACACTGCAGTCCAAGTCTTCTGGCTTGTGCTGCCCAGCATCTAGGGATAGGCACAAGCACAGGGCACAGACATCGCCCAGCGCCACAGAATGAGATAACCCGGGAAAAGGGGAGTAACCAGCTAGTACCTGGGTGTCGGCGTTCAACACTTTTATTCTCTGGGTGGAAATGAAGAGGTCGACCTCGGTCATAGGCTGAGATTCCCCTTCAGGAGCCTGAGGAAGAAAGAGAGCGTTCACCATGGTATCCTGACCCAAAGGTTAGCACGCACATGCACGCACGCACGCACGCACGCACACACACACACACACAGACAACCAAGACACAGCCACCAGAACGGCAACGCAGACTCGGGTTCAACTGGCCAGGGGAAAGGAACCATACAGAGGACGGACATGTGGACGAGAGTTAGCATCTCGAGTCACAGACACAGAGGCCCCTGCGTCCTTCCCTGTGGACCCAGCGTACTAGGGTAGTGACTCTGAACCAAGATGGTGACCGGCCTTCTTCTGTGAGGCTGGGAGACTGATGGGGAAAGGCAAGTATCGGGTTAGCCAAGGCCCTGGGCCAGTCACTCCCAGTCCTGCCCCACTTGAACTGATGAAGTGCTTACAGGAGGTACCAGCAAAGCCCTGGCTGCAGCTCTGGTGAGAGGGTCTTCACAGTCACACACCACCACCACCACCACCTTGGCCACCCCATTAGCAAGGAGCCCCAAAGCCTCACATCCAGGAAACAGCTGGCTCATAAGCACCCAGAAGCTCCACAGCCCACACAAAGCGCAGTCTGGTTCGTTCAGGGCTGAACTCGGCACATGTGTGGTTATTAGCGAGTTTTCTTTTTTGCATCCAGCAATCTGACAAATCCCCAAATCGGTAATTGATCAGACCCAATGTCCCTGCCACCTGGTCAATCCTGCCACACTACCCATCATGGTTCATTTAGCATCTCCAATCTGCTCCCTGTCCTTCCGCTCAAGTGAAATGACTTATGAGCAACAGAAAAACGGCCATTTTAGGCAACTGAGTTTTGAGAAAGGCTGGCTTATGGGGGCGGTTCAAAAAAGAAATCGGAACGAAAAGTTTGCTGGATGCAGAAAACAAAAACACGAAATTAAAACAAAAAAGAAGAGGCAAAACATAAACAAATGGAAAGGACAGGCATAACAACCAAGCTGATGAAGTTGTTTGTACTGCACCTTCTTCCTGCTTTTGGCTAATTTCTGGGCCATCTGCTTAGCATGGAACAAACAGAGACAGGAGAATAGTAGTTAGAAAAGAACTTGCAGAGACTCAATGCCACAGAGGGGGCTGCCCGATGAATCCACAGTGGTGCACAGCATTTCTGTGGGAAGTCGACTAGCTTAAACATCCCACTGCGAAGGTAGCCGAGTTCCTAACTCAGAATTGAGTAGGTAGTGATGGAGAATGGGATGAAGGAAATGTACTGATGTGCTCTTGAGGCTAACTGCTCTGTAATCCCCTTCTGCTTCTCTTGGTTCTGTCTTTATTGCATGCCTGATTTTCTGCTTATTTCACACTAGATCTTTATTTCTGCCCACTATTTTTTTCCCCATTATCTGTCTTATAGCTATGATACTTCATGTCTTCCTGTTGTGGTGGTCATTTTATTGTTCTCTCTAGCAATACTTTCTCTTTATATTTGTGTAATACAAATATACTATGTAACTAAATTAAGAATTAATAACTTCATTCTGCTCTTAATCAAAAGGTTGTTTCCAGCTGTAGTGAGGTTTGAACTCAGGGCTTTGCACTTGCCAGGAAGGTGTCTAACCAGTTGAGCTAGGAGGTAGATACAGATTCTAACCGTCCTTTGTGTTTTAGGTTAATTTCAAGTAAGGTTCTGAGTTTATGCTTGGGCTAGCCTGGACTGCAATCCTACCTTTTATGCTTCCTATATAGCCGGGATGACAGGTGTACAACACTGTGCTGAGCATTTGTTGATGGAGATGGAGTCTTGGGGAGTTTTGTTCAAGTTGGTCCTGCACCATCTTCCTTCTGATTTCTGCCTCTCTAGTAGCTGGGATTATGGGCATACATTACCAGGCCTGGCTTTGCTCTTAGTGGTAACATAGTTGAGAAAAGCTGGGGCTGGATTGCCTAAAACAAAATCCTGCTACCTACTAGTTAAGTGTTGGTGAGACCACTTAAATGTCTCTGGGCCTCAGTTTCTCTAGCTGGAAAAAAAATGGGGATTAGAGAGTATCTGCTTCCTGGGTTTGTTGTGAGCCTAAACAATGTATGCGAAGCTCCCTGAGCAGTACTGTAAAGACCGTCTTTGTGTACACGATTCTAATTTCCTGTCAGGTCACAGTTTTCTGGCTTTTGGGAACACTTGCTATTCACACCCATCTTGCGTCAATAATGGTGGGCCAGGCAGGGGTCACAGTGCGGAGGCTGCAGGGATGGGATGGGGAGAGCTGTTCTCACACTCTTAGAATTCCGCCTGCAAGAAAAGTCCTCCGCAACGCACCTGTTTCTCTAGGGACTGAAGTGTGCTGCTGGAGCCGCCGCACTGTACGGGCACTGGGTGAGTCAGCCATGCGCATGCCTCACAGAAACATCTCCCAGCCTCCAGGGGTCCAGGAACCCGGAGGAAGCAGAGCAGCCCTGCCTCCCCCCAGCCTCCTTCCTGCTGTTACTGGTGGCTACGATCATGTTCACGATGAAGAGCTCTGAAGGCAGCTCCCTGTGAGTCACTTGTGGCTGCGCACGCCAGTGGTATGAATATTGCATACAGATGCCACACACCACACTTCTGTGGGTCCATGTATCATGATGTGTGTCGTCCTAAGAGGCTTGGTTAATGGCCCTGGTACCATCTGGATGCTTGTGTGTTCTGGATGACAATGACTGCGGAACCTTGATTACTTCCCATACCAAAGCCTGGCAGCATGGGTCAAAATGCTGAGGACCTGGGCTCCTAAAAGGCCCTTGCGAAGGGGAAATCTATCCGCCATCCACAGAAGACCCAAAATTCTGTGTTTTCCTGGCATTAGAAGATCCAAAAGGCAAACTGTTTCATGACAGGTGTTCTGAAGTGATCTGCACGGTTCAAACACTTCTATGCACTTAGTGCAATACCATCTTTAAGTCAGTCAATTATGATAACCAAGTATCCTCAGCAAATGAAAATTAAGAAAAAGAAATTTTCAGGGGGACTACTGAAGAAAAAAATGAGGGCGTCTGAGCCAGGGTGAGCAGCTGGGAGAGGTCAGAGAGGTCTGACAACACTATCACAAGCAAGAACACCCAGACCCTCCAGCTCTGTGGTGTTCCTCACGCTTCTGCACCACAGGGTATGATGAGGAGCAGGCCCCCTCCTCCCACCTGGCCCAGTGTACTGAGTGTGTTGTTAAGTCACTCTTGCAGGGGAGGAGGGGGGAAGGGGTGTATCTCTGGTGGGGGTCCTGTCTTTCTCCTGTAGACATCTACTGAGCACTTATGACGTGCCAAGGTCCTGCTAAGCCCTCTGTGTGTCAATTTACAACAACCCTGTCAGGCAGGGCCTACACTATCTGTACTTTTCACAAGAGGGAACGGAAGCACAGAGAGACGGGTTACTTTGCCAGGGTCACAGAGCCGTGATGTAACAGATTGGAGATTCCAAGCTGGTGCGAGCAGAGAGTCACACTTCACCCTGGAGCACCAGGCAGGTGACCTTGTTGAGCTTCTTTGTGAACACCTCCGATCTGCCTGCAAAAGCAGCTCATGTTCCCACCTCCCAGGACTCCCTGCATTCTGAGCAGCAGGAGGTGTGGAGGCCAATGTCCAGGACGGGGTGGGGGGCCTGATGGGCATGTCCCTGTCTCCTCTTTACTGACCACAGACGTCTTCAAGCAAGATGGGCAATGACACAACTTAAACAAAGCTGCCATGATAGAACAGTTAATTCTACAATGAAACCATAACTCTTGACATTCAAAGGAAATCATAAAAAGAATGGAAAAAAGGATGAACCGTGGGACAGGCTAGAAAAGACTGACAGGCGTGTTTGATTATGAATGTTCCTTACGGAAACGCATGCACCGTGAACACCTGCCACCCCGGCTGCAAGGCGGACCCAGGGGCCTCACAGACCGGCATGGAGATGCTGCGGCCGCGCTCCGCTGGCCTCCAGTGGAGAGGCAGAGGGGAGAAAGGATGATGGCACAGGAGCTAGCAGCACTGCCTTCAGTCTGGCACACTCAGGTGGGGCAGGCACCACACCCCACTGTGCAGAGAGGGTAGATTTCCATCCTAGGGTGCCTGAGAGGCTCACAGGAAGCAGACAAAGCTCTCTCCAGAGAGTAACAAGACATGAGCAGTTGAACACAGAGACAATGTGTTCTGTGCCCAAGTAATTATGGGAGCTACATGGCAGGACAAAACAAATGCAAGGAGTCCCTTTTCTTTCTTCCCTTTTCCTTCCTTCCTTCCTTCTTCCTTCCTTTCCTATTCATGGAGCTGGGCATGTGCTCATCACATACAAGTCTCAGGCCCTTCCTCCCACCCCTCTTGATCTCTAGCCATCATGGTTTTATTTTTCTAGCTTCCACACCTGAGATAGGATGCACTATTTGTCTGTTGGTCTTTGGACTTTTCTGCAAAAAAGCCAATTGCCTTTGAATTATAATCCTCCTGATCTCAGCCTCCAGTAGCAAGGATTATAGGACCTGGCACAGAGGATGCTCTTTATGATGTGTTGTTGAATTAAATTTTTTAGTATTTAGTTGTAGATTTTTGCACCTGTGCCTTTCAGAAATCTTGGTCTCTACTGATATTCTATTTTTGTTGTTGTTGTTTCCCTACAGGGTTGGTAACAAGACCAAGCTGGCTTCACAGGATGAAGTTGGAGTATCATTTCTGAAGAGCGGTTTGAGAAATTTTTGACATTAATTCTTTAAAAGTTCAGTAATCTCAGCAGTGAAGCCACAAAGATGTCATCATCTTTATACATAAATCTGCCAACACTAGTGACCCTTTGTGCTATTACTTCATTGAACAGGTTTTCTGTGCTTTTAACCTTTATCTGTTGACATTCAAGTATTCCAAACATGTCGATGCTATTCATTTAATGTTTTCACATAAAACCTTTTGAATTATAGGCATGAGTCACTATACCCAGCTCCCAATGATTTTGCACACACTTTGCTTCCTTTCCTTGATTGAATGGCATATTTCAAAAGATCTGTTTTCAAATTCAGATATTTTTCATATGACCTAGTCTGTTGAGAGGCTTTCAACTGGACTATTTCTACGACTGCTTGAGCTATTCATTTTTAAGGTTTCTGTTTTTCAATTTTTTGGGATAAATTTGTCATTCATATTCTGTGTTGTGTTCCTCTAAGTTAACGTGTATTTTGACATTCACTTGGCTCTTAAGACTTTTTTTTTTTGCCAGTCCTGGGGCTTGAATTCAGGGCCTGGGCACTGTCCTTGAGCTTCTTTTGCTCAAGGCTAATACTGTACCATTTGAGCCATGACACGACTTCCAGCCTTTTTTGTTTGTGTGGTACTGAGGAATCGAACCCAGGCTTCATGCAGGCTAGGCAAGCACTCTACCGCTAAGCCACATTCCCAAGACTTTTTGTAACTATATATTCATGTTTTTTATCATGCATTTTTTTGGTCAATGTGGGGCTTGAACTCAGGGCCTGGACTCTGTCCCTGAGCTATTTTGCTCAAGGCCAGTGCTCTACCACTTTGAGCCACAGCTCCACATCCTCATCAATGTTGATTTCTTTGTGGAGTCTGCTGCTTGCTACAGAGTTATGCTCTTTTGGAGAATCCTATTACCCTTCTCCTTCACACTTTCCATGGTCCACTGAGATTCGTGTGTCTGGCGGTCGGGTATTCTGCTGCTTTGACGAGATGGTCTTCTTAGGAGGTGGGCTTCCTTCTAAAGATGTGTCTTGGGGTGTGAGTTAGCTACACAATCCTGGCTTTACTTTCACCTGGGAACCATGATGGAGTCTCCCTGTAGTTTTGGCTGTGGCTGATGATGTTGGGTATAGCATGTGCCATGTCAGAGGGGGGATGGCTGTCTTAGTGGGACACACAGGAGTGGGACTAATTCAGCCCGGTGTGGTGAAGAGTGAGTGTGTGTGTGTGTGTGCTCACTGTGTAGATAGGCCTACCGTGGCAGGGTGGTGTCCTTACTGGGCAGTGGGGGTCAGCAGAAACTCTTGAGGTGAGCATTTCTAACCAGTAAAAGAGAACTTCTACTTCA